TTTCGCTTCCATCTTCTTTGCCTTCCAGGGAAGGGTAAATAGGGTTACTCAGTGCCTTTCTCTAATGTCAGCCCCTGTCCTCTGGTGTCACTGAGGGAACCAGAGGGTGTCCTAACAAGAATAGTGTGCTTGGAGTTAGTGAGTCTCCAGTGTAGCTGCCCTTGTCATACTATTTTACACTCCAAGCCATTTTATGTTCTGTTTGCTGCTTTGGCAATAACCTAGCACAGGAAAATACGTATTCAAGTATATGTCATGCTTATCTCTAGATGGCCACACTAAGGTTTTCCCCCCTTTGCCAATGTTTAATAAGAATTTAAAAAAAAGAGAGAAAAAGCTTACAGTTCCCAAGTGTTTACACTGGGCCAGCCAGGCTCTGTGCTAAATACTTTGCATGTATTATCTCATTTAATCTTCCTATTTAATCTGCATTTTACAGGCACAGATGGGAGGCACACAGAGGTCAGGTTATTTGCACAGGGTCACACAGCTGGTGAGCGCAGGTGCAGGCGCTCCGAGCCTGCGAGGGCCTCTCCTCAGAGCCCTGCACGGAGCCAGCTCCTGGTCTGCTTGGTGCAAGGAAGAGGTGGTATCTAGACGCGCATGCAGCATCTCTACTCCATAGAAACTATTATCAGAAAACAGTGAATCTCTGTGCCTTCTTCCCAGGGTAAGAATGAATTCGCTCAGCTAGCCTTTAGGGCACTAATGACGGCTATTATTGTTTTCCGTCTGACACTTAGCGGGTTCTTTCTCTTCTTTACTTTCAGGCTAATAATTAGATTTAAATCCCTGACAGAACTCTAACCATCACCCCAGGGGGCTCTAGGTTTCTTTACGATTGCTTGCAAAGATTTTATTTTTAAAAAAGCCCTGTGAAACTATAAGTAAGTTACACTCAGCAACAGCTTTTAAAAAATCTATTATCTTGTGGAGTCTTTTGAAGAACACACGCTGCTCTCTCTCATCTCCCCTTGAGATATCAGCTCTTATTTTATCCCCAATTTGAAGAATAAAAATGCCCAGGAGGACCAGAGAAGGTAGACTCATAAAATGTTGTTTTCGCCAGCACCTGTGTCACGGCCAGGTTCATTTGGGCAGCATCCAGGCACCTGAAATGTGTCGATGCTGGAATTTTGTTTTGTTTTCTTTTTTTTTCCCCTAAATTCGTTTTCTACATATAGTGAAAATTATTGTGGTGGTTTTGCTTCTCAGGGGGAAAAAAATAAAGAACTGTTCTGTCTATGAATAAATTAATCTCGGCCTCCGTGCCGAGCTGCTTTCAGCAAGGCATTCTGAGGCAAGGTTTTGCATAGAGATGTTTACCCACCATAGCTCCACTGTCCTTGGACACCCAGACCTATTTGTGACAGCATTAAAGTGGCTGTAATCATGGAAAGCAGATTTTCTCTGTGTGAGAAAACTCAAAACGGGCACTTTAAATCCTTTGAGGAGCAAGACAGAGTGGTATAAATAAGTACCTGGCTCAGGTGGAGATGCCGGCCTCATTAACACCTGCTAAAGCACCTGAGTGGCCTCCCAGGGGACTCGGTCACTCAGGAAAAATCTTCTCTGAGCACTTCTCATCCCTTTACATGATGAATCCTCTGGCGAATCCCAGCTGCTTTTGAGGAGGGAGGCCAAGAGCTTGCTGGTCTCTCTACTAAGTCTAGTCTATTCATGAAGAAAACAATGCTGGCCAGAAGGTCCAAGGATAGGATTTGGTAACTCTTCCATGCAAAACCTTTAGCTAAATGATTTCCAGGAGATTGTATTTAATATTTTTCCAGGGACATAAAAATAATACAAGAGTATTTTATTTTACTAAATGTAATGCTTTTGAAAAAGCTGAAGAAAATATTTTTTTTGTATAATTTCAAACAACTCCTTCAGGCAATTATGCCCTACAGTCTACCAATTAGCTTAAAGCATAAAGAAAGATTCCATCACTTTCTGATAGATTTCTTTGAATACAGGTGAGAAAAATGGATATATGTTGATGTTTTCAAATATACTCCTACACAGAATCCAGAGCAATATTTTCTCTTCCATTTAGTAATAGTTGTTACCAGAACAATCCTTGTTGATAGCTTGGCATATAGCTCAAGATAGGAGACTTGGGCCCTATTGAATCCATGATAACCAAATCTTTAAAAATCCAAGATATATACCTAACCAATTCAACTGTGAGAATTGAACACTTGATAACCCTGTAATAAAGAAAGGTTTTTTCGGGTAACCAAATATATGTATCCTCTCACTTGTAAAAAATGAGGCTTATGAACATTACATTCTAAAAATGTCTAGAGACTCCCTGGGGAGTGAGAAGCGTTCCTAGAAGAGCTGCCTGGGAGGTGGGGTTGGAGGTGCTTCGCCATGGGGCTCTCCCCCAGGTGCCTGGGCAGCTAGTCCTACTAATGCTAGAGAAGGTGGGGGGAGAGAGAAGGTTCCAGCGAAGGTTTCGCACATGTAAACTTAGTGCTCAGAGGGAAATGAAGTTTGTTACCCTGAGTTATGGATAATTGGACTGAAGATAATGTTGAAGACAGCTCTGTGGACTGCATAGCAGTGAGTGGACCTAATGATCAGAACTCGACTTAATAGTCATTTATTTATTTGGCCATTGGACCAGGAGGCAGCAGCTTTTCAGCTCTGATAATAGGCAGCTGGGGAAGAACAGGTATCTTTTCCCAATTTGTACTTTAAGAAATGCTTGGTAAGGAGCCCAGTTTGGACAGAAATGGTTGGTAAGTGTGCACACTGCAATCTGGAGTCAGCATGCGAGAGACATCTCCCCACAGAATGTATTACATAGACGATGGTGGGTTTGTACGTGAAAGTTCATTTCACCCATCCTGCAGCTTACCTACATCATCCCCAAACAACGCTTTTAATAAAAATGACTAAGAAATCCTTTATGGATTGATTGAAAGAGCTAAATTACTATTTTAAAAATAAATAAGTAGGTAACTAAATAAATAAAATAAATAAAAAGTAGAGCGTTTCCATGGAAGATACTCTCCATGTTTTGAACAAATACACTTAAACTTGGCAAATAACCCATTTGTTTAGGAACACCATCAGCTTACTGTTGTCAGTTTAACCTTGAGGAATTTCGCAGGCAACTCACAGAATATTAGAAAGCAGAATGATAGTTGTCCTTTTTTGGAAGGCAGGCCTATGATCAAACAGGACTATTTTAAGAGGAGGATCCCAGAGCCAGTGCCTTGGCATGGTGTGGGAAGGTCTGTAAGAGAACCATGGCCACAGTGTGGCACATCTGCAAATCAGCATTAGGACTGTGTGCACACTTACCAACTGTTTCTCTCCAAACCGGACTCCTTACCAAGCATTTCTTAAAGTACAAATTGGGAAAAGATACCTGTTCTTCCCCAGCTGCCTATTATCAGAGTTGCAAAGCTGCTGCCTCCTGGTCCAATGGCCAAATAAATAAATGACTGTTAAGTCGAGTTCTGATCATTAGGTCCACTCACTGCTATGCAGTCCATAGAGCCGTCTTCAACATTATCCTCAGTCCAATTATCCATAACTCAGGGTAAAAAACTTCATTTCCCTCTGAGCACGAAGCTTACACATGCGAAATAAACACTGGGCATCGCGTTCCAGCAGTCTCACTCCTCACACCAAATACTGTCAGCGGTGCTTAAATCTCGGAGCCACCGGTGAAATCATATCATACATGGATGGTGTTACTATAATCCATTATTTTCTAAAGGTGTCAGGCTTGAGGCCTTGGGCTGGAAAGGTGCCGCAAAGAAATGAAATCCAGTTGCATTTGGAAGCCTGCACCATCATGGGAGCTCTCATAAGACAGAGGAAGGTACTGTGGCACATGGAACAGCTTTCTATGCAGGAGGTGGGCCATTAAATGCTTTCTGAACTCCATCAGTTCCTCCTACTCAGGCTGAAAAAGTCCTCATAAATGCGTGAAAATTAAATTGCCTATGAGTAAGGAATGAGATAGTACTTGACTGTCAAAGATTATTTTCTGTTCAAATGGTCTACAATCACTCATACGATGCAGAATCCGAGCCCATACCTGCAAGGAATGCAGCACTGACTAGGAATTCCGTGCCCCCCAATCTAATGACATCTTAGCATCTGGTAGTAATCCCTCGATTTGGCCTCAGGTTAACTTCGCCTCAGTGGCCCAGCACCACTCCAGGTGGAACCCACCACCTCCATTCTAGGCTAGACCCAGGCCTCAGGTGGTCACAGCATCAGAGATGCCCGGGCTCGGTGATCAAGTGGGGGAAGCACATGCCCCGGTCGAGGTGCAATCCCGGGTGGATGGGACTCCTGAGAAAGGGAGAGCCACTTTCTTCTCCCCTCTCCTCTCCCTGAACTCGGGAGAGAATGGGTCTGGGATTGCAGTGAGCCCTTTGCCCTCAAACACAATCTGGGAAGAGAGCAACAGGGGGGAGAGGAAAGCTGAAAGCTAGTGAGACACTGGGTCCCCTGAATCCAGTCGTACATCTGAATTTTCAGTTGTATTAGCCAGTAAGTCCCTTTTTTCTTAGAGTTTCTTTCACTTGCAATCAAAATGGTCCTAATTGATAACCAACTAAAATGGAGATGCGTTTGGGTTTACAGTTCAGTTTTGGAAGAGGCTTATCTCCTCCTACAGAGGGACACTGAGACGAGGGTAGGTGGCTCGTCTTACCTGCCGAGCTCCTCTGCTCGTGAGCAGCATAGCCAGGACTAGGGTCCAGTCTCTCGCTTTCTTATGTGATGTTTTCACGCTACTGTGGGAAAAACCAACAAGTTGGACTTGTTTAAAACTTTCAATTAAAACTCTGCTCCAATTAAAAGTATATTTATTGTATATTATACTTTTAAAAAATTTATAAATTAATATTTTTAAGTCGTCCTTTTCATTGTTACTAGGAAATGAACTTGAAAATACATTGATAAATAAAATTTCTCAGAAATGTAGTGTGTGTGGTCTGTTGTAGCAGCAATAGAAATAGACCAACAAAATAGCTTAAAGTGTTTTATTAAGTATATGTAATATTACAGGGTAATATTTACAAAGTTATGCTTTTTTAAATAAAAAAGTAACCTTGGCAAAGATTGCAGATATTCAAAGCTTCAACAGTGATAAATTGATTTAATACATATTTAAAAAAAAAAAAACTTTAACGGTAACACAGCTGTAAAACAACTTTGGTCTTTAAATCACTGCGAAAAACGGCTACTGACAAACAGCACACCTTTAATTGCTATGGAAAAAAGCCCCCAAGAGAGGATCTCGCACATAGCAACACTGGAGTTTTCTGTACTTAGAATGGTTAATGGGTATTCATCTGGTATGGGATCTAATTCTCAACAATGGCTTCTTGTAAATAATGCTCCATTTAATAAAAACAAAAATGTTTCCCTCTCTCGCCAACCCTAAAAACAACATGACTAAGATTCCACTGATGTTACCTTACAGAGAAGCTTATTACAAATGCTCTCTTTTTTTCAAAAGGCTACATTTATGGGAAAGCTGGTCTTAAATAAGTAGGAGCTGTCACAAACCAAAGGCAGGAAAACTGCCCACTCACTGCTCATCTCTTGAAAGTTACCTGGGTTATCCCCGTTAGCCATGGAAAATGACAAAGGACCCCAGTGGCAGATGGCAGTTACTGATTTTGAAAATATGACACATGTAAAACTGTTTCTCAACATACCATCAAATAAAACACAATAAGAAAATAAAGGATTGCCCAACAATCATTTCTCTAGTTTCCAAGGGTAGGTAGACAAGGGGCTATGTATTACCATACGTAACACCGCAGATACCCATTTTTGAGTACTCGTTTTAGAACAAGAGAAATCTAGAAGTGGTATACAGCTTAATTCTTTCTGAGATGGAGGAGTAAACTTATCACTTTTGAGCTTTATTAATCAAGCCACAATTTGTTTGGTCACTAAACTGACTACAGCTTTCCTAAAAACAACCATCCTTCCAATGATGGGATAGCCTCATCATTTGAATTCTGACATTCTCAGAAGTTTTAACAGATTGAACCTGGAGTTTCCAGGTGAAAAATTATCTCCTTTGAGGGTTTTCAGAGTATGTGAAATTTGTCAAAGAAAGAGAAAACTCTCTAGCTCACCCTATTAAAAATAGTGGGAAGTCTACATACAGCCAACTCGCAGTCATCAAACATATACTGAGTATCTAATGTATGCAAAACACTGCAGGAAGAGACAGGAACAAAATAAAGGCTCTTGCTATGGAGGACTTTTCAAATTGAGTGACAGAAAGCATGACAACCAACAGGGCTCAGCAGAGACACGTGACGTACCAGGAAAGGTGAGTCGAGATGAAAGAGGCAGCGAGGCGGGTGGGGGCGGACTGCAAAGGGGAGCCAGCGGGGAAGGGAGAGCTGAAGGATAATGTTTTGAGGCAGAGGGAAAATTTGATTTGGCCGGGAAGGTTGAAACGGTTGTTGCAAAAATGACAAATGGCATCCCTCTGAGGACACACAATAAATAAAATTGAATAGAAGAGTCAATGGTAAAAAATCAGATCAGTGAGTAAAAAGCAGATTATGGAGGGGGGGGAATGATATGTGATGCCCAAAACAATTTTAATTAGGTGTGACAGAAAGTTGGGAGCCATTACAAGTCTGACTGAATGAGAAAAAACTGGCCCAATGATGCCCAAGCAAGAGGGTTGCTCCCGCTGTGGTCCCATTACCAGAGAAGCTGACAACTAGGAAGAGCAGGAGTTGGTGTCGTCTGGCCTCTTTCCTGCTCCCTCGTTGTCTCGTGCAGTGAGTGCCTCACAAGACAGGCAGCATGGAACAAAAGGACGGGTAAGTCCCAAGGCTGCACCCACATAAAGGAGAGCTTACTGCGTATTAAAGGGCACGACATTGGTTTATAAAAAAGTTCAGTACAGAGATTTTCATGCCTGACTCTTTCTTAATAGAGAAGAAGAGTTTGGATGTTTTATTTCAAGCCCATCTGCTTTTTCCCTTTCATCAAGTATGAACAGTAACAAACGATATTACTAAAATATAAATATTTTCAGAAGGAAGAAAGAGCAGCAGGAGCCATGCGATTTGTATAAAGGAATACAGCTCCCTCTACATATGATAATATTTTGGACAGCAACACAAACAGGGAAATACTAATTTCCTTTTATTTATTTTTTTCCAAGAAGCGCTGTCTTCATAGTGTGTTCGGTTTTCTGAGAGGCATCCGAAGATCATAAATTCTGGTTTGCCCTGGGCAAACCGCTTGGTCCCAACATGAAATATGACAATCAATTTGGCATAAAAGAGGCACATGGGCACACTCAGTGGACTGAGAAATAACTATTCATAATATAACTACAAATATGCAAGTCTTATTATTACACAAGCAGGGCAAACCACTAGTATTTTTAGAGGGTATTGGTGAGCAGTCAAAAGATTGGACAAATTACCTAGAAGTTTTAAAAGTTTTAAGTGATCAAATATTCTCATCCAATATAATCCCACCCAATAAAGATCTTTGTTTTTAAATGCTTTTGCACACAGCATACATGAGCATTTGCTCTCCTGCAGGTACCCCACTATCGTCCGTACAGAAGATGCATGTGCCTACCTTATACATGTGCACACACACACACACCCACAAAGGAGGAAACGAGTGCTAAGAATCTAAAAGTACTCCAGGCGATCACAGCTGTCAGAATGTTAATTTTCTTCTAACGGGGTACAAAACGTGGGGGTCGTGTTTTTTCAATCTTGGAGTCAGGGGAATACGAGGCAGGACTACAGGAGGAAGATGATGAGTGTTCATCATGCAACATAGATACAATAGCGATAAAACTACCCTTTCGAGGGCCGGCCTATTGGCCTGACAGTGACACACAGAATGTTGCCATGCAGGGGACACATAGTTAAAAACCTCAATCTTGGTTTTTCATGCCCCAAATCAGAAAAGAAGTGAAGAAACACCGTAGATTGTGCCTTCAAATCCGAGGAAGGGAATACATATGTTACAACCATAGCTATTTTTGCTGAAAAGTGTGAACAGAGTTCTCTGAGAACAAGTCTGGCTCCTTTCTGCAATGATGCTACCATGTCACTAGACCATGTTCAAAGAGGAGAAAAGGTGCTACATCTTGCACAGCAGAAGCAAATAACAGGAGGACAAGACAGGGTTTAAAAGGTTGTGTGAGTAAAAAGAAAAAGACATCCGTCAATAAAATTACCCTAAATCCGCTGAAGGAAGAATGTGTGAATGGCAACCTCCAAGAATGAATACCATGATTTCCATCAGTATCACATCACATATAAGCAAAATACAACATGTTTCCAACCAAATTCCTATCCCTACTTAATGTTTGCTATTCCCTTGACCTAGAAGTGGCAGACACATTATTCAGCTAACACCATAACTGGCAAAGTGGCTGTGAACTTGAGCTTGCTAAGGTTCAGTGGAAGCCACTGTTTTTCAGCGATGTCTCTGAGTAACCAACAGGTTAGTGCCAGGTAATTCTCACGTTGAACCAATTTACACTGGTGGGACCTAGAGTCAAGAAGTCCTAGGATCTGAAAGGCATCATTCTTGGAAGTTGACCACTCTACTTTTGCCCTTAATTGAAGAAAAGTAACAATAAAAAACTGGATCTCCATTGGGCACACAACACATCATGATTCTTTTATTAACTAAATCACAAAGGGTTTGAATAAAAACTTAGCCATAATAACCATTTAAAAGTCCATGATTTATTTTCTCTTATGATGACAGTCAATTGCTTTTCTTGTTTTCTTCTCTTGAACAGTGGGTGAATCAAGGCCATGATGCTTAAACACAAGTGCATTCCTTTCTTGTCTTACTACTCTCTGAATCAGAGTCCATCTCTTCAATTTAGTTACTCTGAAAAATGGAAAAATGAACATTTAATTACTATGTGTCTATTTTTCTATGCATTAACAAGTTGATGTATCTTAAAAATTTGGAATTGTTTCAGATATATAATATCTAAAAGTAAAGTATTTAATCTTAAATTTGCAGAGGTCACAGACATAAAGCAGGCAAATCATCAGCCGTCTTTGTTGCGGTAAGGAAAAGGGCAATGCCAAGGGAAAGGAAAGATCAGCCAAGTCTGATCATTTCCATTTGCTGGATCAGCTGAGGAGAAGCCAAGGGATGCTGATTTTATAAAGCAAAACACACTGCTCACAGACTAATACTTCATCGCATTCACTTTAGATCTGCATCATTCACTTCATGTCAGTGAAATAAACATGTGATTAGGTAAAAGTCAGAGGAAATGGTACTAAGGTCCCTAGGAGGGCGCTCTGAGCCTCACTCACGGATGCAGCAGACACGCTGTGAGCATTATGCTGTTAGATGTCAGCTGGAGGATCCCACCAGACAGACATTTAAAAATAACTGACAAATCCCGAACAGCGAAATATTAGCAAAATTAAGGACATTTCAAAGGTCATTATAGATTTTATGTGCTATGAACAAACAAAAACTGTTGTATCTCCTGGATACAGTGGTTCAAAAAAAGTCACGTCCCAGGGGAAAGTAACAAAGCAGGAGGTACTCAAGGTTCTTATACTGGTTTTCTGACCATGGGGAAAAGGAGTTCTGTTTCTCTACCCATCTACAGAAGAATGACTCCACAGGAGGAAAAGGGGAGAACAACAAAATTGAAAAATAGAACACGAGAATGAACACATGACCAAACCATGCCACAGTCCCAGGCACCAGTTCCTTGTTTCATACCATTTGGTTCATTCCTACTAACTACGATTTTTTTAGTATAATAAAACATGCACTTTTGTAATAAAGGCTGTGACACAAACCTAAAAAAGTGGGGCCATCTGTGCCTCCTTGCTGAACACAGCCTAAACATTGTTTTAAACTTAATCCACCAACACACAATCGGCATGTTTTTACTCTGATGCCAACGTTCACTGTGCTCGGGAATATAGCCTTCTTGAGTTAAATGATGTGCTTTGCTACGGAGGGGAGCAGGTAGGTCACAGACTTTAAAACAGTAAAATGGAACGTAAACTATTTACATTATCAAGGCACGACAGTAAATACCAAAGGTACGAAGAAATTTTTGATAAGATAAAAACACATTAAGATGAATGAATACTTATAGCATTCAATATCTCTGACTTCTTTAACAAATGTATGTGTTTGAAATATTTAATAAAAATTTTAAGTTGTTAGCCCGGAGTCCCCCCAGAAAAGCAAAAGCTGGAGTGACCAACCATTTTTTCTCTCTCTCTCTTTTTAAATCCTCTCCCTAAAGATCAGAACCAAGTTCCTTCATGGAAAAGCAGAGATATTAAGCCTCTGTGGGTTAAATGCAACAAAATCACCAACACAAGCACAAAAAGAAACTGTCAAGATTATAAAGATTTGTGCCAGATTATCTATGTGTCATATAAAAACCATTTTGAAGTTACAGTCACTGGATCTGAAACATGTTTTTAAAAAGCAGTAGTCTCTCTTTGCTGTGAGCAATATGACTGAGGAGTCTGATTGGTGACACCCTACAACTTTTATGTTACTAGTTTTGCAATTTTAACATAGTAGATTCAGGTTTTATAAATCAAGACATGTAAACCTTTATGATTTGACAGTGTCCCTTTTATTTAAAAAGCCTAATTTTCAAGAAGCAATTTTATTTCTTTTCAATGTCTGTATTTTAATCAATCTATAATTCAGGTGCATTTTAGACTTACCATCATTCATCATTCCTTTTGATTCTTTAAATGCTAAGAATTAGTAATAAGCCAAGCAAGCAGTTAGTAAGATTCCACAATGAAAAATCACTTCTAAATAGACAGATTTACAGTAACATCATGCCAACTATACCACAGTGGTAAATCCAAATTAACTTTAAGGCATTTGATTATGATGCCTTTCTGTGAACAATATCCACAGCCCCCACAAAGGAAACAGAGTCAGACTGTTCAGAATACGGATCTAGATTTAGGGAGAAAGAAAGCAAAGTGTTTTGGTCGTACTCCACAATGAGAGACTGTCTCTTTCTAGAGTTTATAAACCAGAAATTAAAATCAACTGATTCTTCTATCCTGGGGGTGCTACAGCACTTCATTTTGGCCAATATAAAAAGGCAGTAGTCCCCTCCCCCAATATCACTTGGCCAATGCATGCAACTACTTGGGAGACACAGAGCAGCGCAGTTTTCTCAGAGGTGAGAACATTACAAAGGCAATACTCTTAATTCTTGGTTAATAATTAAAAAAAAAAGAAAGGTCAAAGAAGGAAAAACAAACAAACAAAAAAACCTAGATTCTTCCCAAGGCATAGACAGAACATTTAACTGCTTTTGGGGCCAGTTCAAATTATGATCTGGTAACGGATCAAGAAAAACATATAAGTCTGTAATAATCACATACCATTAAGGGGTTCCTCTACAGCTTTCTGGAAAATATTTAAAATATATTTATATAAAAGTGGAATTTATTTCATGTCCTTCGTACTAAAATTTATATATGCTAACATTTAAAGCTATGCAGTTAAACAGTGAATCTAAAAGCAAGACAATAAAGTCTAAAAAGCAAAGCTTGCCAAGTCTCACTAATGGTTTAATAATAACTCTTATTCTCTTCAACATTCTTTTTCTATGCAGAATTTCCCACCCCACCCAAGTCTCTCTCAGTTCAAGAAATCTTGACTTCTTGAAAAAATTATTAAAGTTCAAAATAAATAGCAACATAATAAATAATACCATTAAACAAGAGATGAGAGCAAAACAATCATTTTTAAGTCATGCAAAGAAAACGCATTAGGATTTAAGGGTTTAATGGCTGGATTATCTCTAATAAAGGAACAGGAAGAACTGCTGTGTGTTTGTGACCAAGGCAGCTACGGCACCAATCTTTTTCGAATAAACGCCATGGCAGAGCACCCCTACTCCCCCCTGCCTGCCTTTCGGGCAGGTCTGCTGAGGCTTATCCGATTTAGCAGCATATGCAGTCTTCACTTCCTGCCACACACAGGAGTCTCACTTTAGCATTCCAGGCACAGTGTCATTAAATCCTTTATGGGAAACTGATTACAATATAGCCCTTTCTTGGAATCTTCTCAGATAGCTTAGTAAGATATCCAAGATATAGTGAAAACTACAGTACAGTTTGGAGGAAGAAAAATGCTTATAAAATGAGGGAAATGAATCATACCTCAGAACAGATATTTTAAAGCAATATTTCCATTTATTTTACAGATTATTTTAAATAAAATCAATTTAATATTAATTTCTCCCTCAGTTCAAGCCTGAAGTCATGTTTTGTATATGCACATCAAAAAAAATCCAACAGATGAGGCAACAGATTGGAATCAGCTTTCCTTCAGCAGAGACAACCACCACCATTCTTACACATAAACTTTCCAGTTCTAGGTACGAGAAGTCAGCATCATCTTACGGAACTATTTATTCTATCCCATTGCTACTAAATGACCAAACATGGGTTTTAAAATAGAATTGGATCTATTTATGCAAAGATCATGAAAGGACTCCTACGTTCTCTTAATCTGATGTTACACTAAACAGACGGCAAAAGGGTCAGTATCTCAGTTACCATCCCTCAGTCAAAATCATCAAGTGATCAGACCCAATTCATTTAAGAAACATTAACTTACCCTAGGAGGCTGTATAGTCCTCTGATTGGAAGCTGATAAAATTTAAAAAATAAGAAAATGAATTTAATAAATGAAAGAAATTAAGCCAATACACTGTTTAATTTTAAAATAAAATGTTCAGTGCTAAAGCTAGAGGTGCCAGAAAGTCCAGTGAAAGAGTTCCAGCTCTGACAATCTATTAAAAAGTACAGAACATTCTTGAGTATACGAAATGACAGAATAAAATGATGGAAATAATCCACCTACATCAAGTAACAAACATATCCCCCTGCTCACTTGTGCATGCCCTACCTCCTGACTTTGTGGTGGGCAAACACTGTCATCTGCTCACCCCACTGTAGACTCTCCATCCCTCCCTGCCAAGTAGACAGAATGTGGCAATGACCAATCTCCGCCTCTGCTCCATCGCCCACCCAGAGCTCACGGCTCTGGTTCCTTGCAGCCTAGTCTTTCTCCTTTCTTTCATCTTTCCAGTTTACAAAGCTCCAGATAGGTACCAAACGAAAGCAAATATTCAGATCCCTCCGAGTTTAAGGAATTATGCTAGACGCCTGGTTTTAGCTACAGTCAAGCCCTTCTTGATTGTACACAAGTGTGTTACTTCTCAGCTCACCTTTCACCGCTCCTAAACGGATTGGTTAATGAAGATGAGGGCATGCAGGGCATCGTGAATGTGCCAAAGGAAAGAGAACTGCTCTGGTGGCATAGGGAAGAAGGGAGAACTTCCTTACAAAAACCAAGTGAGGAGGAGCCAGGGCAGCTAAAACCAGTCCTAAATACAGAACCAGAGTCCTGCAGATACGGAAGCCTCGAGCAGCAACATCCTGTGAATGACCCTCAATCCCACTGCTCTCTGGGCTGGACGACAGCACCGGATTTGCTTATGAGCGGGCTGAGGCAGGCCCCAGAACTGCTCTCGTTTTCTGTGCTCTTTACTGACTACCACTCCTCCAGACCCACTTTATCAAGCTTCCGAAGCTGATGGGAAATGGGGGGGAGTGAGACCCGACCCGAGGGCAGCCGCTCTTTAGGCGAGCCAGAGCTGATGAGGCTCTGAAACAGGGACAGTGACAACCGACTGGCCGGGAGTTTCTTTCTGCCACTGAAATCTGAAGGGAGCGAAACAATGAAGACTAGAAAGTTGGTGACGGTAAAGGAGGTGACAAGGAAAGTGAGCCAGGAGAAGCTCAAAGCTTAGAGCTCTCTCTGGGTAAGATAAGCTGTGAGCGAGAAGACATAAATGGGATGAAAACACAAGGCCATAAGAGGAGGGGACGAGCTAACTGACTGGCAGGTAAAGAACCACAGAGAAAGGAACTACGTGACTATAACTGGCCGAAGGGCTGACTGACTCTTGTTCCTGAGAGGGTGACATGAGGACTCGGTTCTTTGAGATGTGCTGGATCCTTCAGATCCCTAAACTACTTCCTGTTACGCTCTGAGGCCCAGCTATGTATCTGCCCTCACGAGACTCCCATCTCTGTGACTGTCATGTGTGGCTTTAAAGTTCCCTCACTGCAGGTACATGGACAGTGGTCTGGTCCTTGCAACCAAACGAGAAGTAACCCTTGTTTTAAAGTACTACGGAGTGAAATGGGTTTAGGAATGCGCGAATTCACATTTAGTAACCTTCCACATAAGCCGGGCAGAATTACAGAACTTTATTAGGCACCGTTATGATTGCTACACGAACATGGCTCACTTCAGCTAAGCCATGCCCTTTATATTCGATCAAGGGAAAGAGAACCGAACAGCTGTGTAAATTATTGACTGCTAATGTGAAGAGGCCGAGGTAAGATTTTAGAGTTATATTTCTGAGCTCAGAAGTTTAGTCATCAGAATTAGGATTAAGAACTGCCACGTCGCTCCTTTTCTATCCTAATCATGTGTAAAGAATAGTTTCTGAGCTCCGATTCTCAGGCACAAGGAACGTCACATTTGGCTAGCCCATTATGAAAAAAGGGATCTATAAAGAACAGGGAGTAAGGTCAGCTGTGATCCCTCTAATATTATAAAACCAAACAATGCAGAAGTTAATTTCGCTTCGAGTTAATCCTCTCCAATAAGCGTATGACCTACGTAACAAGAGAATGACTGTAATTTACGTTGCCGCCACGGGCCTGAGCTTCCACAGCCGTAGCTACACATTCATAAAAGCACAAAGCCTTAAGCATTTCATATGAGCTCACTTGCACTGTTTCTTGATATGGTCTTCTCTCCCTGAAACACTTGACACGTCATAAATATATTTCTAGATCATGAATTTTCAGGAATACTTTTTCTAGCGATACCAGATTCACCTCTCCTCAACAATGAGTAAGACAATATCGCTGAATTTTTTATAACTTTCTATATTCCACGTCATTCTCATATATCTGAGATGTGGTAAATATGTTTTCTGACTGCTAGTAGGTTGATTTGTATCAAAACACAATTATATGTCCTTATACTGGTAATGACCTTAAAAAAATTAAACAAGTATATAAATACCCTATGTAAATAACAAGCCTAACTTGACCCAGTTGAGTTAGTTCCTTTTAACTTTCTATATGCTCTCACATTGTTCTTGTTCCCAGCCCCTAATTTCATTTTATACAGCTTAAATGCTTCCATTAAAAAAAAATTTTAAAAATCCAACGTAGTTTTAAAAAAGACCAGAAAAAATGAAAGTTAAAATCTTACTCCTTAAAGTAACAGGTAAGGCTACAAATTTAAACTTGGAAATAATGAAAATGATAAAAGTTGAACTTCTCATAGGGACATTAACTTAATCTTAAAAAGACAGCTTGGATTTTCTTTTAACTATCTGAGTATTTTATTGCATTTAAGTCGAGACATATTCCTTACGCTTTTCCAAAACAGAGTATTTGCAATGAGTAAAAGTTATTTTAAAAACATTTACAATTTTCACTTCCTGATTCAAATGCTCAAATTTGCAACCTTAATATTACATAAGTCAGATTTACAGACTATAGAAGAAAACCACACCCATTTTCCTAGTTCATGATAGTATATAAAGAGCATTTTCCTGTACCTTTGCTCTTCTTGCCCTTCAATTGAAGGCAGATGTGTCACTGAGCTCTGGCGTTAGACAAGTCGATGTGAAAAGTTAATGTAGAATATTCTCACCATGTCAATAAAAGTGGGCTAAATTCTTAACTTACATATGGTATATTTATATGTTAAACTATGATAAAGAAAAAATAGCCTGGGGAAAGGGTCATAATTTCACCTTCACTTTGATCTTAATGTGAAAACAGTACGTTTGCAATTACACTGGTTTCGTAGGCTTCTCAGGGATGCTGGCAGTGGAGAAGCGGGGAGAGCAAGGCCAAGGGGTGGCAGCCAGGCAATGCCCATTTCCACTTGAGTCGGCATCGCCAGACCTACTGGCAATGGTGCCGAACATCATTCTTTGTTAGACATGGAAGGCGTGGGGACGTGTGGCAAACCAGATAATAAGGGAAGAGCAGAACAAAGACTGACCATCAGTCAGTGACACCTAATACTACATAAGATGTATGGATACTGTAGCTCACACTGTTCTCAGGCACTCATAGGAAGCGATATAATCAGACGTGTCATCTTCGAGAACCACACAAATGGCCATTAGAAGAAAGACTCAACAAAAATTGAATTATGTATCAGCATTCACAAAGTGATGCTCACGATAGCTACCCAATGGATGCCATTCAGCTTTAGAAGTCTTAATTGTATTTTAGGAACTTCGGAGGCATGAATAGAGAAAATCTCAGTGACAAAGCCACTCTATGAACACATAAACTAAAGATAGGTAAATTTTATTTAAGTACTGTATTTTAATTGTTTACTGAATAAGCATTAAGTAAAGGGAAACAGAACATATAATGGAATTGAACTCAGCAACCAGTCAGCAAAAGCTGATGTTAAAAAATAGAGATAAAATTTCTTTGAAAGTCCTGTGCAAGTCACGTGGAAAATTAACTATCTGAATTTGATAAATTCAAAAATTATTTGAATTTAACAATTCAAGGTTTGTATAAAGTTTTAGAAACATACAGTCAAGTTCGCCTAAAGCAAAGCAGAAAGACTGAAGTTTTTACTCTATCAGTTTGTAACTTTTGATTATTTTGACAAATATTTGTTTGTTTTACTTCATAAGCAAAACAAAGAGTTTTTTAAGGGACACTATATTAGTTCCCATATTGTAAGAAACATCTTTAGACACTATTAAAAGCATCTCTCTCTTTCTCTCTCTCTCTCTATATATATATATTAAAAATAACATACAGAAACCTATCAACTGAAAATTGTCAGATTAAATACAAAGTTTAAAAACAATAAGTTGATTCCATATTTAGTAACAATTAATTTTAAAGTAATAAAAGCCTAAATTTTAAAACTCAATGTTTTTGTTATAGTGTATTGCTTTTAACTAAAAATGTTTTAAAGTCAAGTACCAGACAACACTGCTCTTTAATTAGGAAAAGTGACAGATTTTGAATTTCAATTCTTGTCCACTTAGGGGTGTCAAGGTCTATAAACAGTCTGTAAGAAGAGCAAGTGACAAATGGTTCTCTGTGAAAGAGCTCTACCATAGAAACAATGGGCCAATTAAAAATCATTTTCTAGTTATTAAAATGAATCCTCAACCTGCTCTCCTTTTCCATAGCATAAAAAGGTTTATACATTCTAAAACATAAAGCCATTTTTTTCTAAACTAGTCTATAATCTAAACTTTTCATTAATTCATATGATATCTACCCTCTTTAATTAGTTACCAATACATTTCTTTGTTCCTAAGCTGTAAGAACCAACCAAAAGCATTTCCCAAACTGTACAGGGTGGGGGCAAAAGTGGGTTTACAGTTGTTCATATGGGAAATAGTTAATAAATAATAATATAAGAATAAACTCTGTGTTTTGTGTACTCACAACTGTAACCTTACTTTTGCCACACCCTGTATATTTGAAATTCTAGGCATAGACTAACAAAAATAAAGTTTACTTACCAATAAATTTCATATAAACTAATCCAAGTAATTCTGCTAAAGCTATAATACCCAAACCTGAAATCAGAAGAGGGCCGTGCATTGGTGTACACTCTGTAAAAACAAATAAAATTTTATATTAGAAATTCACATGAAATAACCGAACCTCTTAAAAGAAACAATAATAGTAATAATATCAAGTTTTAAGGAGAATAATTATTTTTCTCATTATCAAGAAACAAAAAAATACCTACACATGGTCATCCATTATTAACTCAGTCAATGAAATAATTCCAAATTATTAAAATAAAAAAGCGTTTGTTCATATAACATCTTCCTTATCACATCAAGACTAATGGGAAATAGTCTGTAAAGCCTAAGCCTCCAACCAATTGAAGCCTGTTGTTTTTTTTAAAAGCTCTCCCATGAATACAGGCATTGAAGTTTGGCTGCTAGAACCATCAGCCCATAAGCCACACACAGCCAATGTGGAAAGCATGATCTCAGGGGGGGCAAAATGAGAATTAAAAAACAAAAGCTCACAACACTAAATGCTGGAAAGAATGCAGAGCAACAGAAATGTTCATTCATTGCTGGTGGGAACACAAAATGTGGTACAGCCAGGTTGGAAGACAGTTTGGTAATTTGTTACACACCCTTAAGAAACAATCTAGCAGTTGCACTCCTTAGTATTTACCCAAATGAAGTTGAAAATTGTGTCCACTGTGATTTTATAACAAATCAATACCTTTCCAATGTACTGAAAACAACCAAGATGTCTCTCAGTAGGTGAATGAGCAAACTATGATCCATTCGCACAATGGAATGTTACTCGGTGCTAAAAAGAAATGAGTTATCCAGCCAAAAAAACATGGAGGAGCCTTACATGCACACTACTAAGTAAAAGAAGCCAATCTGAAAAAGCTAGATGCTGTACGATTCCAAGGATAAGACATTTTAGGAAATGCAAAACTATGGAAACAGTGAAAAGATCAGTGGTGGCGAGGGTTTCAGGATACGGGAGATGAGCAGGTGGAGCACAAAGGGTTTTTAGGGCAGTTAAACTTTTCTGCATGATATTCTACACCTGCGATCCAAGTCATTATACATTTATCAGAATCACAGAACACACAGCACCAAGACGGATATAAACTATGGACTTTGGGTAATAATGATGTGCCAGTGTTGGTTCAACAGGCTGTAACAAATGTAGCGCTCTGATGGGGGCTGTTGACAGTGGAGGCGGCTTTGAGTAGATGGGGTACAGGGGACCTCTGTACTTTCCACTCAATTTTTGCTGTGAACCTAAAATGCTCTAAAAAAAAAATAAAGTCTATGTATTTTAAAAAGAATAAGAAAAATAAAAGAGCTCTGTCCAAGAGAAATTCCCGGTAAGAAGGGACTAGAAACGTGACCCTTACCTGAGACACAGAGGCTTAGTCCAACCACAGAGAGCACGAAGCCCAGCAGCTGCAGGATCAGTATGGCAATGCTGAAGGACGACATCCCGATAGCTGGAGCTTCGAGGAGAAAGCATGTTGAGAGTGCTTAAGAAGCAATCCCACCGACCTGTATTTTGCACAATCGAGGCCACTATCCTGTAACCAAAGACTGACTCGGGAGTTCCTTGTCAGATGGTAGATGCTTTCCCAGAGATCTAAACCACAGCTTCCCACTCAAGTAGTCAGCTCCACATTCACACACTCAGCAGCCTTTTATTTCTGCAGTGAGCTGAGCTGAACTGGCAGTTTTTAACCAAAACCTTAGAACAATGCTGCTTTTACCACCCTTGCAGGCCTGACAATAGGAACGGCCTTTATGCAGGGCTTTGTCCCGTGCACACAAAACTGCTCTCGTGGAGAGCCACTCTGCAGGCCTGCCACTGAGACACCATAACCTCTACCTGGGCTACACCTGTGTTTTTAGAGCAGATGAATACCCTCAATGTATTGCAACCCAGACACGGGTTAACACCAAGAGTTCAATGAGCAAATGGGGGGGGGG